TGCGGCTTATATATGTACACATCATTCAATTTAGCTGCTGCGGCTTATATTCAGGTGCGCCTTATAGTCCGAAAATTACGGTAACTGTCTTTTTAGGATGCAGAAAGAAGTGACCATACTGTAATGTTAAAGTGCTGTAATCTACCTGAATTAACTCTCTCCAGTTTAAATACATCTGTACTGCAGCAAGATACTCTGAGTTTACTAAATGATCTATATGCACATTTCCTCCCAGCTGTGTGCATAAAGGAAGGAAGCACTGTGGTGAGGGGGGGTCAGGTGAGCAGGAAACTGTCGTACAAGGATCACGTCGTGGAGCTGGCGTACGACGGAGGAAGTCCCTGCGCCGCGAACCCCGACCTCAAACACAAAACCATCATAAACTTCATCTGCAGGTACGTTCAAGCTTTCCCCTTATTTTATTTACTATTTATCTTTTCATTTGATTTTCTCCTTCAACTGCCTGTGTGTATGAAACGCTCTGCACAATAGGAGAAGTACACTCGCCGAGCATAGACTTTCACTAAGGCCGTGTCCTTAAGTGAACAAAATAATATGTAAATACGCCCCCGTGATTCTGATCCGCTACGCAAATCAGTTATCTTGCTGACATGAATAACAAAAGCAGTCGGAGAATACAACCTCATTGACAGAGGAGTGTCTCTGAGGCGATGGTACTTTGTGTGTTAACCAAGTCATTATTTTAACATTGAATGTGCCAGTGTTCTCCCTTGGCTGATGTTAAATTGGCCGTAAAAAAAACCACTACAAAAACACGTGTACATTTAGAACAGTACAGAATAACTGGAAAATATTTTTTAAAAATACCCTTAATCTTGTAATTCAATCACAGCTTTTGTTGCCGTTTAGTTACGTTTTCCATTTACTATTTTATATACAAATGCAGGGGTAGACATTCAGGGCAAAATTCCACTGGCCCGGAGCATTCGTCCAAAAGATCGACTAATAATGAAAAAAATTCACACATTTGTTGCAATAGTAATTTAACTACATTACTACTTGTACTACAACATTTGAATCATCAGTTCTTCCTCATTTTCCTCAATTGTTCATATTTGGTTTATTACAATAATTATATTGTGGTCATTGTTAAAAGAAAAAAAGGAGGGTGACATTTCTGCTATGAGTATTTGTATTTGTATAATGCGCTTTCTGCCTTCCTGTCATTAGGAGTTAGAAATGTAATGGCTATGTAATAGATTAGATTAGAACCTTCATTATCCTAAACTGCTGGGACATTGCCCGATAGCGAGTATAGCTTTTATATTTGTTCTACTCTTCACTTACTTGTCAGCATAGTTCGGCATTGATGTACAGAGCCGACAGAAGACCTTGTTTATATCATCATATCGAAGCCAACTCCATCGATCAAGCTGGCTGAAACTTTCTCTCCCTCTTCTTCTCATACTCCCTGTCACTCTCCTTGAACTCCTCCGGTGACTTTCTTTTATTTGAAGATTGTTTTTTGCCCGGCCGGTTACCGCTGGTATTAAAAACATTTTAGCGAATGGTTAGGTGGCGATCCGAAGCAAAAACAGCTGTTTGCTTTTCAACCAACAACGACAACCGCCTCACGAAACGCTATGTTGTAGAATAAACAAAACAATTTAACAAAATTGCTAGTCAACATACCACAGGACCATTTTTTTTTTTTTAAGCAAGATTTTGAGTGGCCCGAGCGGGCAAGTAGAAAGTACGTTATGCTGCCCCGGGGGGTCTAAATAGTGCTTCCGGGCCAGCGGGCCATTTATAATGTCGAGCCCTGGACAAATACATACATTTCTGTCACCTTTACATCGAATAAAAACATCCAGCGGAGTACCTTTATTTCATTTATGTAAAGCCTTGTATCTCAAAGAATGTATTTATAGATGTTTACATGGACTGCCCCCCCCCTTAGGGGAATTCATCCACAAAAACACAATGGACGCTGCACTAGGTCAGAAACCAGAGGAGACTGTGAAGTCCACCGTAGACGGACCACCTTTGGACAAAATGTCCTCTCCATTAAATGCAGCTCTTTGTGGAATAGCCTCCCAACTGAGATACGGGATTGTCCCACTCTCAATAGCTTCAAAGGTCAACTCAAAGAATGGTTGTGAAGAAACAAACAGACGTGTAATCACCGCTAAATGCACTTTAACACAGGGGTATCTCCTCTTGCACTTTATATTACACGTCTGTTTGTTTCTTCACAACCATTCTTTGAGTTGACCTTTGAANCCCCCTTGTGCAAAGGTGTTTTCAGTCAGTTTGTCATCAGTTTGTACCAATTGTGTATACTGTATGCAATCTGTTGGAAACACAGGGTATATGCAGGAATCCTGAAGTCAGATGGAAAACCTTTTAAGACCTTTTTTAAGAGCCTTTCTTACATTTGAAGACCTCATCGCCACTTTGAGTCTTAACCGGTTACCTTGGCAACACACTTTACCTCACACTGACTATATACAGTATTGATTGTCCTTCCTCCTTATCTTCCAACCATTTGGACGCAAACTTGCATTTCCCCATAACGATGTTGCTTAGCAACCGGCGTAAACGGACCTTCGTGCTATCAAGCAGTGAGCGTGAGATGTCCTGTTCAGATGACGTGAAATCCAACGGGATGCCATCAATAAACTACACAGAATCACACTACACACCTACGCAATGATTACATTCAGGCAGACTGTAGAATACAACCTCTTTGGACCATTTATATACTTATTGAAAACAAGCTACAAAGTGTAATACCTTGGAAAATGCCCTTTAATACTTTTTAATAGCCTTCATTTTCGCTAAATTGATTTATCAACTTTTAATACTTTTGAAGACCCCGTGGACACCCTGTAACAACATGAAGTTATCTATAAAAGGCAAAATACAGCTAACTAACACGTATGGTTGTCTATCCATTTCCTAACTCTGTCTTTCTTAAACCCTGTGTAGACACATTAGTGCCTCATTTATCTTTTAATAATGTGGGAACATTTCGAGATGTGTGGCCTTAGCTTGAGGCAGTCTGTGTGTTGCAACAGGAGAGATGATGGTGGCTGTCAAGTTGAGGGTAGCAGAGCAGAAATATCACAGCAGCAACAACAACAAGAGAGAAGAAGTATGAAAACAAAGACAACAAACTCTAAACATCGAGAAACACTGAGGTGTTATTGCTGCCACAATCTCTGCAGATTGGCTCCACGCCCTGTCTGCCTTTTTCGTTAATACTGTAATGGCTTAACGGATAGTTTGGATTGTTTGAAGTGGAGTCATCTGAGATCATTATTTACAGCACGCCCCCAGTTTGGAGAAGCAGAGAGGAGTTACTGCACATAAGCTAAGCAATGTGCTCCTGTAGACGGGGGAATCATGCAAAACCTATTTTAGCCACCTAAAAGAAAGGCCCATCTATTTAGAATATTTTTAGTTACCGTAATTTTCGGACTATAAGGCGCACCTGAATATAAGCCGCAGCAGCTAAATTGAATGATGTGTACATATATAAGCCGCACTGGACTATAAGCCGCAGGTGTTTTAATGTTTAATTACCATATGTAAGGGTTCGTGCACAGAGGGGATTGTCGGGAAAGAGATGGCTGTTTGAGCAAGCTCCCATTTATTAACATTTCAACAAACAAGTTGCATATTTGCATAACGTATTCAAGTGTTAGCATTTAGTGCAATAGTAGCTACAGAACATGTGCTGTGTAAACTGTACTGTATCACATAGCGTTTCAGACACACAAACTTTTCAACTTTCAAACTTAAACGGTGCGCTCCCAGCGCACGTACCGGCAGTGATCTACAGCAGTGGTTTTCAACCAGTGGTACGGGGACAAACTGTCTCGCTCTCGTAATGTCTGTCTGTCTTGCTCTCGTTCTGTCTCTCGTACCACTCTCGGTTCCACTTTTACTTTTGCGCGCTACCTGTCTCACTCTTTTCCGGCCTCCAGCTTTTCCTTCTGGAGCCCGCCGCTTAAAGGTGGGGGGCGCGGACCGGCCATAGAGCCCATAGAGTTAAAGGTGGTGGACTGTAACCTGTAAAATCCATAGATTTAGGAGGTCCCCTAGTGGCCGTTAGCTGTACAAATCCATAGATTAGCCGCACCGTTATATAAGCCGCAGCGTCGAAAAATGGGAAAAAAGGCGCGGCTTATAGTCCGAAAATTACGGTAGTTTATTTGTGTTAATGTTTGACTTTGGTGAAGCAGAACTATCCCTTTTAAAATATGGGTTTACTCAGAAAAGGCTCAGATGCAAACCTTAGGATTTTAAATATCAATAGTGGGGCATTTATACAAAAGTTAATCAGAGAATTGTTTTTCATTTTTAATGAAGCCCTATCCGTGAGTTGGTTCTGTTCAACACTGACCTGTTTTCATTAGAGTCCCCTTTGTGGATCGGCTCAATTCAACGCTGAAACTCCTCATATGGATGATCTGGAGCCTAGAAAGAGACAAACATTAACATCTTGACCAAAGAAACAGAACATGCCTCACAACTGAAAAACTAATCTGAAGTTCTACTGCTATCTAGTGGCCAGAAGCACAACATAAAAAAGGGGACATACCTGATTACGGAACAGTATTGTGAACAATAAATCCTTGCACTATTGCATAACACTTAATCATCGAGTCCCAAACAGGAAGCTGAGCCTTAATGTCGGTTTAATATCAGCTTGTATAACGTGTTATGCTGTATTTAGAGAGAGATGTGTTGGATCTTACTGTACATATTTTCTAAGAACAAAATAAAAGTAAACTGTGGCTTCAGACTGGTTGTTTTGTGTACTGAAATTGGTAGAACTCAGTTAACCTTACTTTCATTCCAACCTATTTTCAGTGAAGCGTAGAAAGCTTATTGACGTTATGTATTTAAATTTGTTCTGATAAAAGGTTGCATTTCACTATTCGTACAGTACGTACCTTCGCAAAGCTTGTCCCAGGCAGCAGGGCAATCGACCGCAAGGATACGCAGGCTGGAAACATCAGACCTACGACAGAGACAGAGATAAAGAGAGATGAGAAGCAGATTACAATGTGAAAGAACACATGCAATTTCTAAAAGTCTGTGTGAGTGGGAGGAAACACTCGATGGGTCCAAAACCACTGACCAGAAAAAGTTTAAAAATTATACATTTGAGAAATTCATATTTTGCAGCACCTCGCTCTAAGTGCGGATAAAGTCAACGACTGTAAACTATTTAAGAATAAGCAAGAACATATGATTGGATTACTAAGGCGTAGTCCACACAGGTACTTTGTGGGTTGTGTTTAGGCTCTAAATGCATGGTGATGATAGGTCACTTAAGTAAGGACCTTTTGGGGATAACACACGTTTTTGACATTGTGCATGTTTATTAGCGCTTCATTTGCATTTTCATCATGACTGGACAGGAAGATTACATCAGTTTATAAAAAACACCTGTGTACGTGCACACATGATGCATGAAAACGTACATTAAAAACATCTGGTGTGTAAAACAGAAAGTGTAAAGGGCATGTCACCTTCTCTTATCCCTTTAATCGGATTGATCAAAATGCTATGCAACTTGTTAAGAGACATGTTTCCTTTCTTTAAACCACACCTCCAACTGATATCAAATATTTTCTGAGAGGTAGTCGCATTAAAAAAACATCACTGTAAGGATCTAAGAAGCGGGCTGTTGAATAAGACGGATCACAGTGAAGGGCCTAAGGAGAAGATTCTGGGTTCAAGGCAGTTACGAACACCTCCGAAACAAAAAGGGTTTAACTTGCTTGGAAACACCTTCAACTCTTATCCTTTGCTTTGAAACTGCAGAAAAAAGGACTACTTTGACACACCAAAACATGTCTGTAAACTCAACGATTGGCCACTGCAAAGCTCCCAATCGATTCACATATGAAGTCCTCTCCTGGGTGATGGTTGTGGAGTACGTGCTGGGTCTGCCTCTCAACCTGTCGGTCCTCTACATCTTCATCTTCAGGTATGAAGTAACACAATCTCTCTTTTAATGACTATTTACTATTTTCAAAAGTGAGTAGAGAAAGCCTTCGGGGAGGGGAAAACGTTCAACTTGTTTACGTGATTCTTCAGTTCGGTGTTTCCCGTCTTTAGCCCTCTCGGAGTGATTCAGACACTAATACGCCTCCAAAGAAAAGTCAACGAGGTCACTTGGGGATAGCATAGATAGACACATCCACGTGACTCTGACCTAATATTAATTATGCCAAAGTTAAAATGTTTACATAGTTTTGAAAAGCTTCTCATCTACTGTGACCAATTAAAGTTGTTTCTTGGTTTATTAAATGATCCGCTGCATTTCCTGTCTGGTTGCAGGAACAGATTCATACAACTAGCTTTGAGTATTAACACATTGAATCACCATCCAGAGTGCTCTAAATACACACTAAAAGGATTGATAGATAAGAAAGAACAACGAATACATCAAGCAAATAAAAAACGAAACATTAAACAAAGAAATACACAATCAAAACATCAATGTTAAAGGGATGTTATTATTATAAAGGCTTATTAAGTATTAGGGTAGGCTGTACTTAAAACAGTGAACTTGCTACACATAAGAACCATACTTCATTTAAATTGACTTCTCACGAAGTGCAGTTTTAACCAGATGATCCGTGTCTGCTAATCTTGAGATAAACTGATAAAGTTGTAGAGCATAGTGTGCTGTGATTAAAGATAATCTGCAGGAGAGTCAGCAGGCAGGATGCACAATTGCATGTTGCCACCATTCAATTATACATCGCAAAAAGATTTAAAAAACGGCAATAACACAAAACTCATAGTCCTGCATTAAAACATGCATCAATGTGCCGATAGAAGATTTCTGCACAATAGTTCTTATTCAAGTCTTCATGTTTTAAACACTAAGCAGAGTGCTACAGTTTAATGAATGAATTGTCAGATTAGAGTTGGGCATGGATTCTGTAAAATAAAGCCAGGAACCGCAAAATAATACTGTTTTGTCAATGGCTTCCTCTTTCAGGTACAAGTTCTGGAAGAACAAAAGTATCTTCCCGTTCAATATTGTGGTTGCGGACTTCTTGCTGATGGTCTGTCTTCCTGCCAAGGCTTACCATTACCAAAATGGCCAGAGACGCAGCCCAATTAAAGACGTGTGTAAGACGATGCACTTCTTGCTGTGTCTCAACCGAGGAGCCAGCATGGCCTTCCTCATCACGCTCTCCATCGACCGATACTTCAGTGTGGTTCAGCTCGGGAGGAGGAACTTTGTCAAAGTGCTGAAGAAAACGCCTCAAATCTCCATCCTCATCTGGGTTCTCTTGCTGCCCCTCACCATCCCCACTATGGTCAACACCTTCGAGTGCTGCAACAGCTTGAGAAATGAAACTTTTCTAAACGATGTGACGGACCTCTTTAGAGAGGTACTGTCTTAGTTACTTTTCTTTGGATTTGCTTTAGTGCGCAGTGCCTGATGCTAAGGATACAGAAAACATGTCGACCCGACCTTGGGCAACATACTTCAGCCCTATTTGCTCCTGATGGCCAACAACAGTGTGTGAATGTTAGTTTCCTTGAGCAGGTAGCACCTTGTATGGCAGCCTCTGTGTGAATGTCTGTCAATGGGTTAATATTAGTTATGCAATGTACAAAAAGGCCTTAATAATTACGGCTATTTTATACTCCAATGTTAGAGAACCAATCTTACTAAAGCTTTCAACCCTGAAGAACTGTGTATCTGTATGAGCTGTCTGACTCAAAGTCACTTTTCTTTTTAGATTGTCTACTTCGCGCAGATCCTCATCCCCTTCATCATCCTCGTCTACTGCAGTGTGCGCATTGTGAACCGGCTGCGGAGGAAGACCGTGGGCGAGAAGACCAAACTGAGGCGAGCGATGCTGTTGGTCATATCTGTCGTTGTCGTGTTCACCCTCTGCTTCCTGCCAATCACTATAGCCAGAGTGGTGCTGCTGGTTGCCAGGCTTCAGAAATGGCAGAGCGAGAACGTTGTGGTTCAGGTGTACGACAGCCTCATGGTGCTGTCTTACATCGACTGCCTGCTAGACCCGCTGGTTTGCTGTTTCTGTATCTCGGGTTTTAAAGATGCTTACATTTCCACCTTCTGTCCAACGTTTCTTAAGAAGAAACTGTTGAAAGCTGAACAACCACAATAGTAATTACGAATTCTAACTAAGAAATTCCTGAGGACACTGAAAAACACCAGTCAGGTTGTCTAAACGGCCAAATATTAACAAAGCATGGATAGACGACTTCTCTGTGCAGTGTTAATTCTACTCTGACTCATCAATTAAGTTGAATGGTTTCATCTGAAGATTTTTTGTTTTACTGACACTGATTAAAAAATACTTGTCTGCTTCTTTTGAAACTCATGTTCTTCCGTGTTTTGATTGAGAAATTGACACCAAAACCCATATTTTCTTTCCCAAACTCACTTCAATTCTAAATCTACTGTAAATATAAAGAAAATAAGAACATATCTTAAAAAAAATTCAAGAGCGGTGCAAAGTACATCATCATCCATAGCTGTTTTTAAGTGTTCAGTAATGGACTTTTTCCTTAATTCATTGAGATCTGGTGTAAAACTGAAAACAAATACATACTTGTTGCATGATCGGATTTATGGTCTGCAGTTTTGCTCTCCTCATTTGTATATCTGCAGACATCGTTGGACAGCACTCAATCAGTTTTCAGAAGACCATTCCAAGATTGTATTCATCTGAATGTCACCATCTGCAAATAATACAAGTTGTTAAAAAAATTAAAATGCCACAGAGCAATGATACTATGTGTTTTCATTTTCAGAATTAATCTAATACATGGGACAAACCAAATTAATCTAGAATGGTTTTCCACTTTTTTTTTATATATACAGTATATAATTTTTAAAACCAAACTAATATTCCCACCAGAAATATCAGTTAAATATCTGAGTGGAAGTGAGGTGCAGCTAGCTTTGTCAAGGTGTAACATTAGCATAATGCAAAGGAACAAATAGGCAGCGACAAAACGGGTTAAAAAGGTTATTTTTTTAATAAAACCAAAACATATTGTTATATTTAAATCTAGGAATAAGACAGGCGTTATTGTGACATCAAGAAATGTCTTCAACGCTGTGGTAAACTAGTGACTTAGCTAACAAATTAGCTAGTTTAAGTCATATATGAGTGACCTGCCGTTTTTTTTTAATTGGCTTTTGGGTAAACACTTAGTAAAAATGCTTTTATTTGAAAGTATTTGTTTTAATTATCAATTAAAAGTAAAATGTCAAAACTATGACTGTTGTAACATATATAAAACGGAGTATTTCAAAACTGTCCTTACAGTTGAAAACCAAACTACATTCAAACTGCTATACATTTATGTAAACTAGCTTAAAATTAGTAACCCTTCATCTTTAAAATGTCACATTCACGTAAATAGATAACAAACATAGTATTTCTCACTTCGGGTAAAGAAAAATGAATGAAATTTGATGAAAAGCAGCATTATATTATTTAAGGATCGCGTAGAAAAATAGTTACCTTGAGTGTCCCAGCTGGTGACCGTTGAGTGAAGTTGACCGTTAGTACAGTGTATCCGTTACTGAGGCTAGTTTGAATTCGACCTAGTGTTAATCCCTTAAAGTGAAATGAGGCCACAAACATAACTTTTTTAACCTCCCAACAGGTAAACAGGTGGATATTCAACTCACTTTTGGTTATTGTGACGTCAAGAAATGTCTTCAACTTTCTGGTAAACTACAGTGACTTAGCTAACAAAAGTTAGCTAGCTTAAAGAGCCTGTGACAGCATCCCAACAACTGTTGTGCAATGAAATATTGGGCTACTAGTCATCTCGAACCGTCAGTTTAAAAAAGAAGGTGCGATACCGTTCCGATAAATATCAATAATTTCGAACATCGCAGGGAAATTCCGTCGACTCATTTTGAAGTTTTGGGGGAAGCCGGAAGTGACGTCAATGCGGGAACGCTTCACTGTGCGGCGAGAGAGCCAAATACGGGTTGTCATGTGTAGAAATGGTGAATTACTGAGTTTAGGCACGTTAATAACGTTTTAATGAAGTTGACTACGGTATATTCATATTTGTCAGTGCTTACATGTAAATTCGGCGAACATAAACATAAATGATCGTGGTGAAGATGATGATTAAATTAGGAACACAAATCGGTAGTGAGAGCTGCTGAATTTGTACTCCCGTAGGATGTGATATAAAAAAATGGATTATTTTTGTAGTTGTAAACTAAAGTGGATTACACTACATTTATTAGTGCTTTCATGTCAATTCGGCGAACATGATACATTAAATGATCGTGAGGATGATGATTTAAAAATCGTTTGTTTGAGCTGGTTTAAACCGGTCTGCATTTCCTGATGAGAAAACAAACAGATGATTTTTGTAGTTGTTGTAGTACACCAACATGGATTAAACGTGTGTTTTTTTTTACCACAATGTTGGGGAAATTAATGGATAAAATGCACGGATTATTATTATTCCCACTCCGATCGGGACACTAGGTCCACCGTTTCCCCGCAGCGAGGCTCCCCCGTTGACAGTTTACGTTGGCTGGGCTGGGTGCAGTGGCGGACTGGCCGTCGGGACGAATCCCGATGTGCCGGTACCGAAGTTGGCCGGTCGGATAAATCACTAGCACATCCCCCACTCCCCCCGTTGACAATTTACTAGCGGTACCGAAGTGGGCCGGTCGAGAGTCCCGGGATGATTTTTAGTCCCAGTCCACCACTGGCTACATGAATGTATGATCACCCATATTGACGCACCTAATTCAGGCTCCAGGATGAAATGACTGAGGGGGCTGTTAAAAAATCAGAGGGGGCGATCTTTTTTTCACAACAACAAAAAATACTGGCAATGTAATGAATTGACACACCAAGCTTTTTTCCTTCTCACTGCTCTACAATCTCTTTGCTTCTTTATTTTTATTCTGGATTTACCCCTCTCATTCTGTTCTTTTCCTCTGATCTTTAATAACAGATAGTAGATAGTTGATAGATAGATGGCTGCACTTTGGTTAACAGACTAACATTGATTTCCTCAATTTATAAATGTTACGATATCTGAGAGGACCCAAACGCAGGACACGGCAGAGTGTTAAAAAAGGTTTATTAGTGAACAAACGGTGCGGGAAGGATAATCCGGCAGGAGTGGCGAGGAAGTGGAGGCTGGTGACGACAACACGGCGGTCAGAGAATGATCCTGGAGCACAGGAAGAAAACACGTTAGCGTCAGAACATCCAGAAATAAGGTAGCTGATAATGCTGAG